GTCCATACAGGTGAGTTTTGGAACGCATGAGACAAGTTGGATGCCCTTTGAACTTTTTGATACTATAGCTTGTGACCCAGGTTGACCCCCTGACATCGATTTAAGCATTAATAGACTGTGTAAGCGAACGTAATTTAGTTCCAATTGTAGAACAGGATTGTGTAAAATGCAACTTCCACTGCAAGTCACAAGCAAGTTAAGAACTGCCCTGGACGATCTGAATTGTTGCAGAGACATGAGGGGGCATTTTGTTTACACAAACCAGACATTCATTTCCCAGGTCCTGAACACTACCTGCAAAGTTTGACGCTGGCACATAGACGCGGCTTCCTATTCTGCATGAAGGCTTCCCCCGTCGCGTTGACGGTCGTTTTCAATTGGACTCTCGCCGGCAAGCACGGCTCTGGCCTCTACACCCTAGGTTGCAAATCCACAGAATCCTGAAAATGTTCAATCAAACCAACGAGATACTCCCATTTGGGTGGGTGGTGTTTCCTTTACTCAGACCCTGAGGCAGCCCTCAACTGGACTTGTTTGGTGTTTTGGATTGGTGATTTGGAGTTGAGCCCCTCCAAGGAAAGGCAAACAGGACAGAAGAAGTCCAGATCCCTTTTCACTTTTTCACCCAGACTCGAGCTTTTTCCACGGCTCCCAGTCAAGGCGCGGCGGGTCTCCTTTGAGGAGCTGTACCCGAGCACCCGCACCGACGCCATGCGCCTAGCGGTTATGGAGGCTACGGCCAGGGAGCCACTCGGAGCGGAGGGCGGTGCGTCTTTTTTGTTTCGGGTCGCGGGACGGGTTGCGTTTTTTTGTCGGGCTCCGGTGCCGGTCGCATTCAGCATACTCAACCTCCAGAACTGGGGGTAATTGCCCCAAACAGGACACAAGGCGATTCGGCGGAACTTGGAAGGATTTCCCGACATGTCAGGATTCCGAGATGAATTCTGTTGAGTTGGGGATTCCCTATTTCAGGATTCGCAAGTGTGGCAAAATGTGCAGATGTTTCTCAACTCCACCGAGGTTTCCATATTCTGACTTATCGAGGCAAGCAAACCTTTGGCTGCTCCATTTCGGTCCATATGTCAAGGGCTGCAAGTTCCAAACTTTGTGAGTTGGACTCCTTTTCGGCCCTCCCAATTTGGAGAAACCAATAGATTCCCTTAACGGATGTGGCGGATAGGTTCAATCACCTCTTAAGACCACCCAAGCAAGCCGCGCGTTTTTGTCCAGTGGGCGGTGACTGTGCGTGGCAGTTGTGCTCGGTGGTCACCGTCATGGAATGCCGGTTGTGGCCAAATCCTTAGCTCATGCAGTAGACCGGAACGTATGAGTTGAATTAGGGTTTGCAAATGCTTTGGATTTCTATCGTTTGGGGACAACAAGCGAAAACCGGTGGCTCCTTGCATGCGTGCACGTGCATGCTGATCGCAACCATCCAGATGCTCCCTCTAATGTTCAAGCTCCTGAGACCACAGTCGACGGTTGGCCATGTGTAATTGAGCGCTTTGGGAGCGGCCTGGAGCTTCAGACAGTCATGAGAAGCATGTGTGTTTTTCTTCTGCTGAGGATGCATGCCAAAGATCAGCTCTCCAGGTCGCCTTCTCCCCTCTCCCGTTCCCGGGTGCAAAGCCGCTCGCGTGCAAGAGGGGGCTTTTGGGCACAACGGCCTGAATAAGTGGTTGTGGGACTAGACTATGCCAAAATGCCTCACGATCATAAGAACGCCTTGGTTGTAATTATTTGGCCCCTTATGTTAAAGTCTTCGGCTTGCGTATGTGCCTTAAAACGTTCTGGGAAGCACAGCCGCTTGCATCCCCCAGGCCCCACGCCCGTGCTTCAGCGTGCAGGCGCAAGGTCGGGCTCCTTTGAGCAAGCGTATGGATGGATGCTCAAGTGGGTTTGTCTCAACCCCAAATTGGGTGGTTTGCTGTTGGCTTCCCATTCGCAACCAATCCAGTGGTTGAATCTTGCTGCAACAGGGTAACCCTTGGGTTTAGGCCTGGAGTATTCAAACAATGGAGGAGTTCCCTTCACAACCAAGCACAAGCCTTCCTTCGTCGTTGGCTAGGCCGCCGCCGGCGCTGATTATTGGCACTGCTCCGCGTACAAGATCGCCCGTTCCGGCCGCTGGGGATTTCTTTTTGCATTTGGCGGGGGAGGGACACGTAGCAGCCCAGCAATTGGTGCCACGGGCGCAGACGGATGGTTATGGCACACAGCTGTTTTTCATGCCGTTGTGCGGCACTCAAGGCAAGGGGCGCCTACCCAGCACCGGCTTTGCAGCCAATGGTGGCTTGGTGACACTGAAGGTGCTCGGCTGACGCAAAACTGTGTCAGCGCCAAATGCGCAAAGCTTTTGCTCGCCATCAGGTCACTCATGGCATCCGAGCAGTCGCAACGTCTCCACTTCGGGCCCCAGCCCCGTTTCCCGCGTCACGGCCTCTGGCCCAGCCGGCGCAAGTTGGGTTGTGGCAGGCTGCATTTTCAGTCTCCCCAACGCTTTGGGTGGGTTTGTTACGGCTTGGCTAGCCAGAAAGACCAACGTGCTTCGGCCATAGTGTTCGGTGATGTTGGTTGGTTTTGGCCGCCGCTGCACCCTCACCCTCCCCACTAATTGGTTTCTATTTCATTAGGGGAGCCATGGCCGTGACCCACAACGGGAGCTTTGACCATGGGATGCAGATAGACGGCCCGTCCCCTTCAGCAAGCGGCGCTGGTCATGGCAGGCTGCGCCCGGCAGCATCGACCTCCCCGACCTGAAGCAGGCATTGTCAATTTCCTTTCCCAACCCAAAACACGATGTGCATGCTATCCTTATATGTGTATATATGTCATATATATATATATATATGTGTGTTATATGTTACGTATAAATTTAGTTTAAAATAGGTGTTTACAGTATCTGATTACCGTTTTTTTGCTCGAGCTTCGCCTGAAAGCTTCTGATTCAAGTGTGCGCTAAGCAGGGATTGTGTTTTGCATCGTTTCCTTTTCAAGGGCGCCCAACACGGGTTGCCAGATTCGGGATGCGCAACGATAAAGCCAATCGCAGCTACCAACAGTCTTGATTTGTCTTTTGGTGCTCAGCCATAGGGAGCTGTTGGCCTGAAACATTCTCGATGCTCATGTGTGAGCGCCTCTGACCCCCCCCCTCCCCCCGTTGGAGAAGACGAAGGCTTTCGCAGTGTGAAGCCCCTGACTTGAGCCAGGCCTTCGAGGCATTGAAGACGGATGTGCAGTCTTTGCGGTACCCGGGCTTTTTCGGGACGGAGCTGGGGTACACGGGTTGGAAGGTATCCCCGGTGGTGGCAAGTAGGGTTGCCATGTCCCCCTCATGTATTTGGTATTTTGAGGGGACGCCTCAAGGGTATGTCGTTGGAACCTTGGCTTCAGGATTCAGAGTGTAGGATTGTTGACCGGGTGTGCTGGATGTTTTGTGGTGCAAGGCTGTTTGCATGGCACACAGTCTGCAAAACAGACTTCCTGAAGTCGACTTTAGATGACTGATGACAAACAACTCCTGTTGTCACGGGAATCTCCTTTTGCATCCCCCTTTGCATCGGTGCGTTGGGGCTGCAGGTTGTTGCTGGAAACCTCGGCGTGGGAGTAGGTTTTCGGGTTTGTTTCAGTGGGAAGCCAAGGGAAACAACCGATTTTGGAGGGCTTCCCCGTTATGAATATATCCAAGTGTTTTTAGCAGGGAGCCAACTGGACTGATGCTTTTCGTTTTGGGTAGTTCAAACGTGAAAGGCCAGTGGTGATCGAGGCTCCCTTTGAAGTCATGTTGAAAGGGGGCATATTTGCATAGTGCTTGCGATCTCATTTCGGGGACGAAGACTTGAGCAACATGCTAGTCAGTCAGCTGTTCGAATGCACATGCCGCAACTTTCTGGGCAATGACTGGGTTCCCTTTGTGGGTGGTTCAATTCTTACCTTCTTTACAGGCCACCTCAAGATCGGGTTTGATTCCTCTGGTTTCCATTTGGGGTGGGTTTCTTCCACGTCTCACCTGGGGGTACACATTGCCCAGGCAGCAGCTTGGGGCGCTGACGCGGGCAAAGGAGGGCTCGAAGCCAGACACGGCCAGCGAGGGCCAGACTGCGGGTCCCTTGGGTCCCTCGGTTGGGAAGGGGCTCCAGCTTCGTGAGCGTTCTGAGCACTGGGCATCACTGGGCCTCTCTTGAAAGGAAGCGCTTGAGCCTTTCTACCGCTGGACGGCGTCTCTTCGAAGCCAGCCAGCTGATGCGTGTTTTCTTGTTTCGGGGGGCTGAAGAAACCGGATGCGAAGCATTCCTAGGAGTTGATAGGGGGTTCAAGTTTGTCGGGCCCACAGAGTTCAGCTCATGCGTAAAACACGGCAATAGGACCCCCCTCTTACTCCCGCGAAAGGTGTTCAGATCCCTTTTGAAGGGCCTTTTCTCAGAACCCTCCCGCGAAATAAAGAGGCGCTTTGAGTTGGGGGTGACGGGGAAATGTCAGAGGTTGCAGATGTGGGGCGCAGCCGCCTCGAGACGCACCGCTTGCAACCCTTAGGTGCTGAAGAGAAGTCACCTGAGTTGCCGGATGGGCCTTTGGAGGCATAGGAAAAGAGAGGCCAGCTGGGCTCGCGCCAGCTCTGCTAGCGCAGCGCTCGAGGGTGTAGCCAGCAGATGCTCTGGGTGAGATTTGTGGAACCCTTAGCTTGCAAATTATCAGCGATGCACGATTATGCACAACTGTTTCCTCCAGCTCTCAGCTACAGTATTTGTAGTTCCCAGCATAGTTCATGATTGGGAAGGGGCAGCTTGCGCGTTCCAAGTATGTTCGGGTCACTTCATTCGTTGGATTTTCCATGGGCCGATGGGTGTTTCATGAAGGCAGCCTTGATATGGTTGGTTCTATTTATGTGTTCTTGCTTAGGCGGCTTGGTTTTGAAGAGAAACAGTTTGCCCCAATTTTGCAAGAAATGCCCCGAGGTCTGAGAGAGGGAACCCGCCTGTTGCGTCGCGCTGTACCCCGTGGCCACTTTTCAGATGTGAAGGGCCGCATCTCCGCCCGGTCACCGAGCGACCATGCCGCAGGAGTGCTGTGGTGCCTTTTGCTGGTTGGGTGTGCCTGGTGGGCAATCCCTTCCCCCTACTTGTTTTTAAACTAACTATTGCCAAAAATATGGGGAGTGTCAGGGGGCTTTCCGGTACGGTCCATGTCCCAGACACGGCTCAATTACGGTTTGCTTTTGCGTTTGAAGGTTGTTCAATCCAATCAAGAGATGGTCTGCCTTGTTCCGAAGTGGTTGTGGAATCGGTGCAGGTACGCTTCATAGTCGGCGATGCTTAATTATATATAGCAGCGACGCCCACTCTTTGCGACCTCGGGACGTTCCATTTTCCTTGGATTCCCCGTGACATGTTCAAGCTTCAGCCTCAATCCCAATCGTTTTGCCCCCTTATTACCCTCCCTCCAACTAACATGGCAACTGACAGGGGCTCCCTTCAAAAGGAAATGAATCTTCCAGGTACCTCCCCCCGGCTGCCATGTTAATTAGTTGGAGGAAGGGTATATGTTTCAACTCCGCTTGTAAGCTTCATACTTCCTATACGAGTACCATGTTTTGGCCCAATGCAATGGGAAACCTTCGTATTTCCATTTTTGTGTGTGGGCTTCGCACCACATTTCAGTCTTGAGCTCTCATACGCAATTTGTTGGGTGGTTCCAAAGCCTCGAGATGCTACAGCGTCCTGTAAAATTATTGATTTTCACAATTTGGAAATATGCATTTTGTACTCCGTTGTCGTTGGGTAAATCCTTCCATTTTCAAGCATCATCTCCAACCCCAACCGCTTTGCTTTCTTGTGTGCCTTAAGTTGATGTCTGACCTTTCATACTTCCCGTCAACATTTTGGCGCGAAACAAGGGAGATCCTCGCGATTTGTTTTAAGGTTTCGCGTCACATTTGAGTTTCAGGGTAGCGTGAGCGATTTGTTGTCGTCTCCGAATTCTCAAAGTGCTACAGCTTCCCTTTAAATCTATTGGCTTTCTCAATTTGGAAATTTGCATGTTTTGATGTTGTCGTTGGACGCTCCCAAGCTTCTGTTCCATTTGTACCTTTCATACTTCCTACCGGCATTTTCGCTCAATGCAAGGGGGAATCCCGAGAACTCTCGCGATGTTTGTTCAGGTTTCGCGCCACGTCGCCAAGCAAATTGTTGGTTTCCGCATGTTTCCTCCAAATTTATTGACCTTCAAAAAATGCAAATGTGTATTTTTTTGCCGCGTTGTTGCATGCCCCTTGACATGTTCAAGCTTCGGCCCCAAACCCAACCGCCTCACTCCATTCCTTGTGTGCTTCAACTCCAATTCTAGCTTTCGGAATTTTGGTTCAATACAAAGGGGAGCATTGCGGAAAGTTGTTCTTTGTGGGAAACGGGACTAAGTTTAAGCTTCAGGGTCTCGTAAACAATTATTTGGGGACGGGCACAAAATGGAACTGGCGCATGCAATGGAGCAAAGTGGTTGAGGCTGATGAAGCCTGAACATGTTGAGGTTCATCCAACGACAACACGGCAAGGAGTGCAAATTTTGGATGTGTGAAAGCTATGAAATGTAGAGGTAAGATCTACTAGCTCGATTTCTGGAATCCCCCACAAATCACTTGGGAGACCCTAAATCTCAAGTGTTGTGCGAAACCCACAAACAAGTCGCGAGTTTCGGCTTCATTCACGCGAAATTTTCGTAGGAATCATCAAAGTGCAAACGGAATTGAGGCATAAAAGCGCAGCTGGGGGATTAAACTTGGAAATGCTAAGGAGCGTTCAACCACAAGACTGCAACCAATGGACATCTTAATTTTTTTAAGGTCAAGACAATTAGGGTCCTGCAAGTGTTTTACTTTGGGCTTTCACCACGTTTCAGTTTTGTGCCTCGTAAGTTGTTGTGTTTTCACTGAATCCAAATCATCGACAGGGGTAGAGCCTCTAAATTTATTGACTTTGAAACTCTTTCCTCCCCAACCCACCCTGCTTCAATTCCATTTGAAACTTTCATATGTGCCAAACGTGCAGCGGAAAAAAAAGAGCTTGCCGCATTTGACTCTGTTGGCTCCCTTGTGCAGCTTGCTTTACACTCAAAACTGCCCATGATTAGCTAAAACCATGTCTATTCGAGTTATGAGTTCGCAAGTTGCTGTTTTACCTTTTGTGCCTCCTTCTGCTCAATTCGAAAAGGCACGACAAATAAACATGAATGAGCCGTATGGCTGAAATTGGGGTCGGCGGGAAATTTGGGAGCTTAGAATTGGTGTAGTATTGCCTACTGCCAAGTTGGTATTGGGAAACTGTGGGTCTGGCTTTTGAAATGTATGTGCACTTTTTAATTAATCGGGGGAAGGGATGAAAGATGACTAAGCCAAAATTGAGCAATTGCGCCACCTGCTATTGCCCAACCGCAGACCTCAGATGCATGACTGCTTGGTGACAAAACGTATGGGGAGCGGCATGTTTGGCAGGACACGAACTCCTATGAGCTAGGATCGGCCCCTACTAGATCGGATGACCGCATCCTGGCTGCCAGTTTAGAAGCCGTCAGGCGTTCAGGGTTGCCTCGGCTGGTCTGCACGATGTTGGCTTTCCTGCTTTCCCTTTGCAGCTGGCCGAAGTTTCCAAGCCACATATGTTTTTGTTGCTGTATGATGCCACGGAGTCGTGTTTTTTTCTGGCCCCGGGTGGGGCTTAACCCCGGTCAGGTGGCTGGTCGGTCGGTCGGTCGGTCGGTCGGTCGGTCGGTCGGTTGGTTGGGCGGGCGCATCCTCCGCATCCCCGGTTACGTGACGCCCAATGGCTATGATTTCGTGTTGGTTGGTTTGTTGGTCGGTGCTGGTTGGCCGCATCCCCCCCAACCTAAGAGTGAAGGAAGGGTTCCCAGCCAATGTTTAGAAGTAGATGAGGGCCCGCCCTGTGCTGAGGGGCTAGCAAAAAGCCGGTGGTAAAACGATGCTGACTGCAACCTTGGCTTGTTGACACGGTCTAAGCCATTGAGCTGGGATTCTCGAGGAGTTCTTGGCGACGTGTGAGACTGGACTTGAGGCAATGCCAAGGGGCACCGTGGCACCTGACTAAGGAGTGCTACTGGAACAGGAGCATGTACAAGAAGAGCAGCCGCCGGTGCGGATCTTGCTGTTGGCCTTCATGATCATGTTTCAAGGTCCGGGTGTGGGGTCGAACGAGCTATACTGTGGACGGCAATGCTTGCACAGGCTCAGTTTCAGAATCTTCATGGCCAATTGGCTAACGGCTTGAGAGCTCAACTCCAAAGCGCTGTTGTGCAGAAAGCTGCTTTGGGGCCGCTCATGGCATGTGGCTGTCGCAGAACAACTTTGATCGGACTTGCAAGAGCAGGTGGCATGTCAGATCCAACACGCCACCAGGATATGGCGTGATGAACGGCAATCCCCAACATGCACCTGGGCAGTGGGAGATGGCCAATCCTTGCCCGCAATGGCACTCAATGCCACACAGCCCCGCTGAAGTGCAGGACAACAATTGGTCAGTTTCCTCCTGTGGTTGGTGTTCTTTTAGCCTCACAGGGGTCCAAAGGCGAGACTGAGGCGTTCCTTTGCAGCACACATTGGTTGATAACGCCGGGCCTTTCCTGATTTAATTATTCCCTTGGCTTTCGTTCCCCAGCCAGGCCGATTCTCGAGCAATGTGGGAAGGTGTCACATCCCCACAGTTCGCATCAATTTGCGGCGAGCCCTGCTATGAACCGGTGAACCTTAGCCAGGGCACCTGACACTGCCATTGGCCGGACATTCCTTTGGGAATGGGTGCATGGAACTGGGGGCTGAGGGGACCCCCTAGGAGTCCATGACTTCCGCCTCAGGCATTGAAGATGAAGCTGGATCTGCATCCGGACCAAGCCGCCGCCTTTCAGGATGCCTGCGCCTCCTTTCAGCTCTCCAAGCTGCTCATGCGAATCTGGGCGCACTCGTTGGGCGTGCGGCTTCTTCCAAGCAGTCTTCCTCGTTTGGATCGAAAAGCCGGGGTTTTCTTCAAGGCAAGCTCGACTGGAAGTCTTGCATGAGATCACCCATAGGAAGCGTCCTTGTTCGGATAGAATCGTGCTTGTGCATTTTCCCTCGGGGTGTCGGTGTTATGACTCAAGGTGGGACTTGAGTCTGGCTGGCAAAGGTCATTGACATACGATTGCGTAAACTGTTGGTTTGCCCACCGCCAGTTAGATAGACGACTGGATTCCAGTAAAGTAAGCGACTCGCTTGCCGCATCCTTGTGCCAACAACGCCAACTGACAAGTGTAGCGGAACCAATGTTGAAGCATCCATTTGGTTTTGGGGATGAAGGATAGCTCCCCTTTTTTAGGACGGGTTCGTTCATCCGAGAGTCGCGTTGCATAGATACTGCATTTTTGGCTTGGTCCCACACCTTGGTCGCTTTTGGTGTCTGAATTGTGGGCTCCTTTTGGAAAATGACTCATCCACCACAGCAAGGAAATTACGTATTTGCAGTGGGTCAAAGACCAATCCTTGTTCACACTCCTTGGCTTCCTGGTTGCCAACCCACTTTGCTGGGTACAGTGTTATCAACCCCTTTTGGGCAGACGGCCGTGCATGACAGCAAACCCTTTTGCGATCATTGACCGCATGCAAAGGGGTATGCACAAGCACCCCTGGGTCGGTGTTCCCGAAGCTCTCGCGGTAATCCTTGCACCCCGTGCACAGACGGCAGCTGATACTGCGCCAACCCTTCAGCTGAGGGTTGGCGCACTTTGGCATGCGAGGCTGTTCCAAGAAGGCACGCGCCTTCCCATTCCATGGACGCAGAACTTTTGGCACCTCTCCCCAGGAATCCTTCAGATTGCGCTGCTGGTCTTCTTGCAGCCCAATGGCATAGTCTACTTGGCTTACGACACTTGGATTGATGAGCAACGCCGTGTTGCAACAGGCTGGCAAACCAAGGCCGATCAAGGTGCAATACGAATCATTAGTAACCATTAGTACATTAGTATAGCTCATGATGGTGTATTTGAGGCGTTTATGTTCGTCGCTGTGCTGATCCCCGTGATTTTTGTCTGGGCACTTGACATGGACAATCTGTCCGTGGTCTACCTGCAGTACACGCTAGGAGGCTGCCTGGCGGCAGTCGCTAGCCAACCCCGCGGCAACACAAAAAGGGCACTCGGAGAGACTCGGATAGTATGGTAAGAGAGACCTTTCTTTGGGCCTTTGGGCCTTTGTGGTACGCTTGTTCAAGACGAAGGTGGGAGGGTGCGGGTCCTGAGGCATTGCCTTGGGCCTTTTCGAGGGCACCTTCCTGAGCATCATCAGCGTCTTAGGCAGGGAGCCAGTCAAAAACGCGCTGCGCAGACCCCGTTGCACCCTGCAGGAATAATGAATTGTTGTTGCGCAGGGCATCTCCTGTGTGAACATTAGGCGATGCATATCAGGTGGATAGCAGGTTCCCTTGCTGTGACAGCATGCATGCGCTTTTGCACTCGTAGCAGCATGCCGTCCAAAGTCATGGCCATTGTTGTCATGCATTGGAAGGGGGGACTGTCTGTCGCGGGTAAGCATTCCCATGGACCAATTCGAAGGCGAGCGCAGACGTTCAGCAAGAAAGACTTATTTATTTTGACCGTAATGTGTGGCTTGCAAGGGGTCTCTCCTTTGCGTGCGAATCATGTCAGGCAAGAACACAAAGACCTATGTCATCATGGGCGCCCCTCTGGGCTTCGCCGTGCACAACATTCTTCTGGGCACCTTTCAGCAGTGGGGGATGCCGCTCAGCCAAACCCGATTGGTCTCTGGGCACCAGCAGTGCACAGTTTGACGATTCCACAAGTTGTGCAGGTTTGCATGATGCACGGCCCGGCCTTGGCAGCGGGCCCATGTTTGGTAATGCATTTTGCGTGTGGGTTGGTGATTTGTTGAATGGGCATTGGGGCCATTTACTCAATCAATAGTGCTTGTGCAAAGCTGGGATGAAGGCTGGACATTTTTTGTATGGAGAGCATAGAGCTCCAGTAATGGCAGCCTTTGCACGAGGTCACCGGTGGTCTACTACCTCTACTCAGCGGCGTGCATCCCCTTTGCGGTGGTCATTTTCTATTACTACGCACCGCTAGCGGAAGCCAACTCTCAGGGCAAAGGCTGACTGAGTCTGGGGTTCAGGGCCGATGGTGGGGAGCTGGAAGGCTGACTAAAGCAATTGGAGACACTGGGCGTCCGCGGGGGTAAGGCTTCCGTAACATGCAACGCGTGCAGTGGCTGGAATAGAACGGACTGCCCAGAAAGTCCCAGCCTATGAAGGTGAAAAAGCGAAAACCAAACACGAGCTCTTGAAGGTTGACCCCCCGAAGGTCCGCGAGGCTTGCACGGCCAACATGTAGAACGAAAAAGACTACAGCGGGTGGCCCGAACGCACATAGAGCGAGCATGGACTTCAAGCATTTCTGTGTCTACATGTTGCGAGGTGCTCGACGTGCGCTCTCGTGTCTCTTGCTATGCACTGGGCTCTCGTGCATCTTGCCCTGCGTGTACGCTCGACACATGCCTCTCGTGCATCTTGCTGTGCACGTGAGCTTGGCGTGTGTTCTCCTGCCTTTTGCTCTACATCGGCTCTTGTGCATCCTGATGCGCACGTACTGAGATGCATCTTGGTTCTCTCGTGCATCTCCCTTTGCATGTCTCCTCGTGTGCCTTGAGCCTCGGCCACACCAATCCACGCAGACTGCCCCGTCCGAACCGCGCAAAGTAGCAGAATCCTCGAGTGTTTGAACCTCGACCACGCCCATCCACGCAGAGGGTCGGGGTTTTCACCGATCCACGCAAGCGCGTGCTTCAAAAAGTCTCGACCACGACGGCTGCAATCTGCTCTGCTTGTTCTCTCGTGCAACTTGTTTTGCGCGGCTCTCGCGCTTCTTGCTCTGCACGCGCTCTGGTGACTCTTGCTCTCCATTCCATGGGCTCTCGCGCATCTTGCGCTGCATGTGCGCTCGAAATGAGCTCTCGTGTCTCTTGTTACTTTGGTGCATTTTGCTTGGCTGTTAGGACTTCAACTTTTTGCCAACTAATGGGTTTTCCACTAAACCACTAAAAGTTAAACTTTTAGATCTTTTAGCAGGGGAGCACAAAACAACCGAGGTTATGCATTGGCTCTAGTGGATCTTGCTTTGCATGTACGCTCGGCATGTTCTCTCGTGTCTCTTGCTGTGCGCGGGCTCTCGTGCATCTTGCGCTGCATGTGCGCTCGACGCTCGCTCTTGTGCCCCTTGCTATGCATGATCTCTGTTGCACCCTGCCGTGCTTGTACTCCAGTGCGTCTTGCTGCGCAGGTGCTCTCGTGGAGTCTGGCTCTGCCTGTCCTCTCCTTTATTTTGCTGCGCGACACGGCTAACGACTTTAGCGGAAGCAGCTCAATTAGTTCCAGTACCACAGCAGTTTCTTCTGAACTTCCTATGGAAATGTAATAATGAGCCAACATGATATTTACGTATTTTAAAATATGTATTTGGCGTGCCAACATATTCGTCAAAACGCAGTCGAACAGGGATTCGTGCTTATACAAGTCACAGCATACACGTACCCACATACACATCTCGGCTAAAACTAGCGCATAGCTGTTTCATCATGAGCAATGGTATCAAAGCTAGTACCTTCCAGGATCTGCACCTTCAATTGTATTTACGGTGAGTTTGACTATGTGTTTGCCTGAAATTAGGTTACACATTGGTTCGTGGCATGCATCTACATTCAACAACCACACATGCCAAGACTGCACAACTGCAAGTTGGCTCTCTCACTTGATACGTCTGTCCAGACCAGGACACTGGAGCTGTTGGGGGTTGCTGCTCTTCAAAATGCTGCATAGACACGGCCTGTGTAGACAATAAATAGGATTATGCACGAAGACAGGCAAACACCGCACTCCCATAGTCCCCTTTTTCTTTCGGGGGGGGGGGGGTAGGTTAATCTCATTGTGGGGAAGACTGAACAATGGAACTGGTGGAGGCCGCCCGCCCTGAGGTCAAGGGGGGATAGTTGCTGGCAGGTTGTCAGGTCTTCGCTGAATCATTGAAGAAGCCGGGCCAGTGGCTGCCATCCATGCTGCCCTGGTTCTTGGCCAAGTTTTTGGGGAACTTCGTTATGGAGGCTCCTCAGCTGCAATTTTCATGGCGCCTGTAAAAAAAAACATGTATTGAGGCCGCCCCGGGGTAGGCTTAAACCTGTCGGAAAGGAGCTTTGTGTCTATGATCTGTGATGCCCTTGAAGTGGTCATAAAGTAGTCATGGGGGTGGCCCCATGTGGGTAGGACAGAATTGTGTATCCCCCCGCCAGGCCACCCAGTAGAAGATCGATTATGGGGGCACCCCCAATCCCTTTCTCCCTTTTGGCATGGTAAGCACGCCAAGGAGAGCCGTGGCTAAATGGGTTAGCTGCTAGCGGTTTCCTTTGTGGCCGCACTTGAGGTTTTTTGGCCCCAGACCACTTGGGTGGCATGGTAGGCCAGTGCTGTGGAGTTTTGAAGGTGCAATGCCGTCTTGGGCGGAACTCTGTGCACAGGTCGGTCCTTTGGGGACATTTTTGGGAGGGTGTAAAGAATTGAACCTCGCGCCGGGCAGGAGATTGGCAAGGCGTGCCAAAGTGTATTTCCTGCAATGCCCGACTGATGTCGGGTTCATTGGGCAAGCTTGTGCAGCCCCAATCTGCCGCTTTCCTTCATATTCGATGGTTCGCCTGCTGCCGCATATGTTGCCTTCGCATCGCAGCAAACTAATTCGGATTCTGTTCTTTGCGGGCTTTCCAAGAGGCCTCCAACATACCCCACCCACCCGTAAGGATTCCTTCAATAGGGTTTCAGCGTATTAAAGGTTGGAGTGTTCTCGGATTTGCGCTCAGCGGCTTGCGCCCAGGATGCCTTCCCTCTCTTGTTCAACACCTTCAACACCAGTCGGGTTCCCATCTTCGGTCCGGCCAGCACCAGTCCAACCATCCCTTTTCAGTGCCTTGGCTCACTGAATTTGGAATGTCAGGATGATACAAGGTTTTGCCACCGGCAAAGGTTCTATCCTTCAAGCCCCTAAATGGGACACCATGCCCACGGTAAGTGTCATGCTGGCTGGGGGGCCACAGTTGGTGCAGGAACTTCCAGATCGGATTGTGTCTTCCAGGCCTTCGAATCTGCTTTTCCCCGCCGCGCCCTTGCGACGACAAAACTCAGTTGGCGCAAACAGGCACGCGGATCCCAGATCCCGAGCTGCCTCAGCATTGTAAATTAGCAGGTCAGACCACTGCCAAAGACCAATCAGCAAGCTGCCGTGCAAGGGTCCAGCTGCAACAACAAGCGAAGCTATGGCTACGGGTGTGCAAAAATGCAAAACACATAACAGATTGTTTGACCTCTGTCATTTCGCGGTGCCTTTGAAAAAGGTCCGACATGGGGTTTCTTTAGCCAACATGGCTTGTTACATTTTCATTTGGTGCATCCGAGGTACTACACTGCCTGGTATTGGTTCGTAATGGTTGCTGCAGGGGACACCATCAGCCGTCGCGTTCCGCAATTTCTGGCTCTTAAGAGCTGCTTGGCAATTGTCCTTGAGGGCATGGGGGCATCCTGCAAACTTTATTTCCATTCGATATTTTCCAGTTTGATGGTTGTTCTGAAGCCCTCGGTGTGTTGCAAGCATGGCCTTTGAAGTCCGTTTGGTTATCATCAAATAACGCTGAGTTCAGTTTAGTTCCAGTCACCCAGTCGGGTTGCATGCCTCGGTGCAGGATCTGGGCTGACCGTGGCTTCTCTGTTTTTGAGCAAGAATCCCCTAGGCTGACTATATGTTATTTTGGACTCATGTCCGAAAATAGGAGTCCCCGAAAAAGCGGCAGCTTTCCTCTCTCAAAGAGAGCCTGATGGTTTTGGGCAACACGACAACACCACTGTCAATGCATCTGATTCTGATAAGAAAAAGAGCGACTCCTGGGGTTCTACTTCCGTCGCACATTTTCTGAGGCTGGAACGCCTGGGGATTTTGGATCGCCGCCTCGATCGTCTTTTGCATTGGAGGCGGGCGGGCGGTGTTGGCGCGGCCGGCCGGGGCGTCTGCTTTGGGGAGGCAGAGGGCACTACAGAATGCCCGGTTGGCTTACACTCACGTGTATCATATACATGTATTTTATACACGTATGTATGTGCCAAGGGAACGTGGGGACAATATCTTGGTCGTGCGCATGCTCTTTTCCTTGTCCAGCGAGTCAGGGAGGCAGAAAGGCAGGAGCCGGCAGGAGCTGGAGACGAAAGGGAGGGATGTTGAATGGGTAATTGCACTTGGGGTTGGGATTTGTGGGCAAGTTCGGGCTTTGTCCTTTGCTCTGGCCAAATTGAGGGGCTCACTGTAGCTCTGTGCACTGGCCCCTTCATTCCTTTATTTCCCACGAAGTGGCGAAAGATAAACCCCGTGCAAGCCAAAGCGAATGTGTCAGAAGTATACGCCCTTCCACGGATGTGTCGAACAGGGAACATGAAAGCGTTGCCATGGAGGGCATGTGGCTCATCTGGTTTTCGCAAATGGGCTTGCCAGCGAGGTGAAGCGCTGAACTTTCTCCTCTTCTCCATTGCAACTGGCATCGCAGCCTTCGTGGCATATTTCGGGAACGGCGGCTTGCCGGCTTTTTTCAGCATGGGACCATGGGCTTTCCCGGGCTTCGCAGGCTTGCAGCCCCTGGCTGGGAGTCCGGCTGACAGGCTTGTTTGCCGCCAGTGGGCCTTGTGACCTTTCCGTTTCCACGCGTGTTGGTGCCATTTCAGTGCCCAAAGGTTTGAGCTGTCACTTTCAGGCCCTTTGGACGCGTGAGACACAGCAAGAAGATTCAAGAAGCAGCGAGATGGCTGCCGAGGCCTGATCTATGGCCTGTCTGCAAAGTTCATCGACTCGCAGATCCCGTTGGAGCACCGCTACGCCGCGTATAACTTGTGGCTTGACAATCCATTTTGCACAGTGATTGAGACATGTGTAGAGTTGCACTATGCGCACTGCAGCGTCTGTTTGGTGTGTGTGTGTGGTGACATGCTTTTGTTTTCTCAGGGCCCCAACCTGTGTAGTTGGGTCTGCAGCGTTTTCTAACATCAATAGCTGTTTGCCGGGCATGGACAAAGTGTCACCCCAAGAAGGGGCTTGCACATTCACAGTTGGCCTGGGCCGGACGCAGTTGGAGGATCCTCCGAGTGGCCGCGGCGCAGCCAACCCATGTTGCAGTTCTACATCAACCAGTGCTGTGTGTTGTTTGCTGCGGACATAGCATGGCGGCTCAAGTCGGAAATCCTGGTACAACAACATGCCTCTGATGCTTCTGCCCCAAAGCCATGTTCTTCGATTAGCTCAAGCTGGCCTTGGTAAGTTGGATGCCAAGTCAGGTGTTTGAGGGGCCCTGTGAGGAACCCTGCCGCAGCTGCCAAGGTGGTGCTTCACAGGCGACGTTGGTGGTTATGCAGGGCAGAGAGTCTCGGCAGCAAGGTCAAGTCCTGCCTTAAGTATCAAGCAGGAACAGCGCATCGCGTGGATTTGTCTCACTGGGTCAGACTATGGGGTTTGGCCTGCTCACCGCTTGAGGCAGCCTCTCCGTGAGGATCGCCCAGTCAGTCTGCGAGGGCAGACACTACACGCGTCTTGGCCTGGGCATGTGTCACACACTGTACGCGTGATCATACCTTACATGCCTACATGCCTACATGCCTAGACATGCACACGCACATTTGTACGTACGCGTAGATACATTGATACATATGTAGATACATACATGCATACATACATGCATGCACACATAGATGCTTGCATGCGTACATACATGCATGCAGTCCCATGCAGTCCCTTTTATGCACCTGAACGCATGAAGGCCATTGCGTGTGCTTTGCTCATTGTGCCGCCCCTGTTTGGTGCACACAGCTTGCTAGGTAACATCATGGTTTTAATGTTTCTCATGTCATTCGATGCTCGGTGTGACAACGTGACCTGCGACTCACTGCACATTTTCCAAAGCACCGCCAGGTGGAAAGAGCAGGACATGTTTTGTGAAGGCTCGACCCTTTTGGGTGATTGCTTCCTCCCCAAGGTACGTCTGCCATCAGAAGACGCTGTTCTCCTGGGACACGGCTCGCGAATGGCCTGCCAACTACTTTTGAGTTGATCTGGAGGGAGCGAACCCGGCCTGATTGCCCGAAGCCGCCAGAGCAGCAATGTGCAGCCGTCTCCTTGCATGTGAGGGCACCCTTTTCGGAGGTGGTTGCAAACGTCACGAAAAGGAAACGGACCATCTCGGGGGCCCCCCTATTCCGAGCAAGCCCATGTCTTTTTCAAGAGTGTGTTTTGGTTTGGAATCAGGTTTGAGCGGTCCAATGCGCAGACTGTTTGGCTCTTGTGCAACTCAGGGTCGGGGCCTTGCAAACGGACCCGCCAGCCCCCGAAAGGGGGCGAGCGCAGCTTCCGTCGCTTGGACGGCGGCCTGTGTCTTATTGCGGGAGGGCGCGGAGAGGGCGCCCTCCTGCATCGCGCTTTCTAGCCTTTGGTTTAAAAGCAAAGGTGCGAAGCAAGCTGCTGGAGGTTTGCAAGGTGTCAGATGCAGGTCTGGTTCCATGCGCTTGCACGCTCGGAGGAAAGAGGAAAGACAAAACGTGAACTGCCTTACTGCATGAGCACACGGCGCACAGGGCGGATATCTATGAAGGGCCAAAGTCACGCGTGCAAACATAAGTAGATGCATCATGTCCCGGCTTTTCACGGATGGAAGTTACTCTTTGATCTTCAAGGCATCCAAGCGCCATGTGAACCTTTCTGACGTTTGCACGTCCAATATGATAAAGCAGCCTTTGCAGATTGAAAGGGGCGAAGTACTAAATTCCGTGAAAAGTTCCGGGGTTCATCGTCAAGGGTGCCTTCGACCTCAGATGCCCTCAGCTTGTTCGTGCCTAATGTCTTTGCCAATGTCACCAAAGCGTCGCACTGAACAGGTGATGTTTAATGCCGAATGAGAGATACACGAAACCCAAGGGAAAAAGCAAGGCTTAATCATGCCCATGCAGCCAGGGCGTCAAGTTCGGAGCTCAGGTGGAGGAGCTGCAGCGCATGGTAGCGCGCCAGGGCGACGAGCTGCCCATGACGGTCTAATCCTCAAAGTTCGCGCCTCCAGATATGGCGGTGAATCTGAATTCTGGGAACACCCTTAATGGCTTAGCTTGGTTCAAGCACACGTGTCCAGATAATTTCCAAAAGGTACCCGATTATAATGCATACTCATGTGTCAGATGTGCAGATATTTCCTTGCCTAGGGCAGCCTAGCATGCGCGTAATATGGGAGAGATTGGGCATCAGCCCCCAAAGATTCCAAGAGTCTTTGGTTGGAACCCTTGTAAGCGGTGGGCGAGTTGATGTTAAAACAACCTGTGAGTTTTTTTTATAGTTTTTTTTAATGGAGGAGAAAGGCAAGCTGGATAGGGACTCCATCCGTATTCTGGCATACCATGTGTGTGTGTGTGACCTGAAGTTTGCGCAGGAACACACAAGGGGGCATTGGACCTGGTCGAATCTTGCAGGCGCATGTCACTCTCGACCAGCAAATCATGGCTTTGCAAGTGGGCCAACCACATCCAATTTCCCGATTGCTATTACGTACTCTTTTTAATTTTTGGGGTACCGCATTTTGGAGGGAGGAGCCATTCAGTCGTCGCGGACTGAGTTTGGACCTAGGTGTTGGCATCACAGGGCGCCTCTGAAAGCTTTGAGGCGTGGCTGGCTACTTGAGTCTGCGGTGGCTTTCCTACAAGTAAGAACACCCCCTACAAAGGAGGGGATTGTGCGTTTTTCCAAAGCGGACACGGAGGGGTTCCCGAAGAGAACAGAATCAATAGCAAGTAGAGAGGCAAACGGCTGCTGAAAGACTTGGGCCTTTCCTCGCTTTCTCTCGCTTCCTCTCAATGTCCATAGATGCCAACAACTTGCTGCCACCACGTGCTCCCCTGTTTTCGTGTACAGTGTTTTGGGGCCCGGCACTGATTGAGTCAGAAAAACAAACGGTGGCCCCAAAAGACTAAAACGCGGTAACACGACCAGGGTTCCTGTCCACGGGAAGTGGCTGCAACAATATAGGCGGTTTGCATTTTTCCGTCCAGGCTTCTCTAGCAATGACAGTATTCATTCGACTCGCAAGCAACAGTATATATCCAGCGGTTCCATCACGTTGAGATACTTGGTCCGAGAAGCGTGTTGCTGATCCATCAAGTCTTTTGTGCTCGCCTGCTAGACGGGAGCCCGTATTTATCTTAAGATTTACAATTTTTATTCCCTCCTACCATTCTTCGACCGGCCTCCGGCCAGGACCATTGCCAGGAGCTACAACGTGCCTATCATCACGAACTGTGCCTGGGACGAATGCGGTGGCCATTTGCAACATCCTCCCCTTGGGGCTCGCCTTCAACTCCCATACTTCTACCCGTGAATTGGGTGTTGTTTGTTTTTCTTAGTACTGTATGCTCCAGACCTTGTGGGGGGCAGCTGTTTCCATCCCTGGTGTCGGCAAGGTGTTTAGCAATGAACTCAATCGCTGTCAAGTTAAGAATGAACAAAGGCTCGGTCTGCAAATGTGGCCACGGTATTGCCCAGCATTCAGGACCAATCACCTCTGCATCCTTCAGTTGAATGAGAAAGTCAGTTGGGCTTGGGAGCGACCACTTTCTTGGCAGCTCTCATCACAACTGCACCCAGCCGACACAGACCAAGTCAAGGCCATGAAAGTGGACAATGGAGGCAGACAGCAGTTCAGAATGAAAGCTCGCAACTGCATTCAGAATTCAGGTTTGGATTTGGCGACGCACGTGGCATTGGGCTTTTCTGACTCTTCCTTTTGATTTGAGCGATCGATCCCAGAAGCTCAAGTTTCCTGTGAGGCAATCGGTGCACCAAGCCTACAAGAAGCAGCTGAAGACCTTGCATGAGGCGCTTGGTGAGATGCTTGGATTTTGGGGGTCTAAGAAATCAGCGCAGAGGCCCCGTGCCTTATGCCACCCCCTTATTTTGCATGTTTGAGAACGGGGCCAGCGGCACGAGAAAACCACAGGACACGGCGCATGTTCTGATCCGGCGGCCCCCACATCCTGATTCGCAGCGCAATTTCGGATGAATCACCTGCTTGAAAAAAAATAAACGGGTAAAAAAGCACATAAACGAAGGCAGAAACAAACATAAAGGAACAAGACAACAACAGAAGGAAGCCAACAAACAGAAAAAGGGAGGATGGTGGGCCGTCTATAGTTTCCGGCTGACAGGCCATGAAGCTGCGTCCATCCACGCCGGTGCTCGACAAGGATGGCACTCGTCATTCCCTTGAAAGCAAGGAGCGAGACAGCGCATTTTTCTCAAAAGCATTTGGGCGGGGCGGGGGGGGGGGTTCTGTGGGAATTTCGCGGGTTTTGGGAATGAACTGGACATTCAAGCCATCAAGCTTTTAGAGCGCCCTTTCCCCGTGGTTTTACTTTGTGCTGCCTTGAGCTGATTCCAACACGCTCCTCAATTCCTTCTCATGCAAGAATTTCACTCAGCGACGCAGTGGCTTCTGAGGGAAAAAATCCCTCTGGCGTGACATGTGAAGTGGACGTGCAAGTGCCTTGAAAATCTAAATCGGCTTTTGCAGGGGGAAACACACCACAATTTCGGGGACCCCTTGCCTCGTTCAGGAGAACGGCCTAGCACTCAGTGGGAGATGTCACGCCTCGGCTTCAAACGCAGCAATTTGGGGTGTCTTTCTTTTGAGGGGAACCCCCGTTTTGGCTGGTTTACAAAGAGAGGCCAACAGGAAATCGACCATATTTGCTGGAAATAGCAGTGTTGAGACAAACCCTTTTCCGTTTTGGTGTGAGTGCCAGTCAGCTCAGCCTGCCTGCTGCAACATAGCCTGTTGCCTCCGATAATTTGTCCAAAACCGTCAGGATGGTTACTGGCGGCCCAGTTTCACACATACACGTCCAGACTTGCCCACACAAGCGCACAAGAAAGCCCTGCAGCATGAACCTCACAGAAAGCGTTGTCCGTCAGAGATTCGGATGACAACCCTGTCATTGGCTCAAGCCGGTGGTTGCCTTGGGTGGCAGGGGTGACTGAGTTGGTGGGGAAAGGCCCCAACACTTCCCAGGTGGTAGCTCCGCAGAGGCGCGTTTCTTCCCCACATTGGGGGGAGATGGTCGGAGGAGTTGGCTGGCCTCTTCTGTGATGGGGGGTGGCTTCCCTTTTGAGTGAAGTATGGCCAATTGCGAAGGCCTTCAAGTGGCCATTCCCACAACGTTGTTGAGGAGCGGCCTTGAGTTGCTGCACTGGGTTTCATGTTGCAATGCCAGGGGTAGGCTTTAACCCAGTATTACGTTCCGATCGAAATCAACCTTAGTTTAATAAGTCTACATCGGGGTAATCACAAAGTTTCACCCTGTTGAAAGTTTGCGACTGATAGACTGGTAGTTCAACTCAGAAGGGCGCTGAAACAAAGGAACCGGGACCGCGACTGTACCATTGGCACCGTTGAACGTTGGGACCAGCGTTGATCAATGCTTCACGTTTGCACCAGGCTCAACTCCGAAACTTGGAGAGCTACTTGAGGGAGTGGGATTTCTGGATGAAGGTTGCAGAGGGGCTTTGCATGCGACGGAAGCACCAACCTCCGGCGGGATGTCAGCACAACTGCGCTGCTTGCGGGGTTGTTGCTGACTACAACACCACCATGCTGCCATGCTCCTCCAATCAACCAGTTTAGCGGCACGCCCCCTGTTCCGACTTCTCAAGTTGATTTTTGACCGCTGGAGACAGACACGGCCCACTACCAAATCCGGCATGCTGTTTGGCTCAGATGGTTGTGAGGTGTCACTCTGCAGCCATCTTTCTCCGCTTTGAAGTGAAGTGAAGGAGCGTCTTGGTGGCAGCGAGCTGTCGCAAGGCACACGCGTCCAATGTAGCCTTCGCAGGCTGCGTGCCAGTCTCTACAGATTTCGTGAGTTCCCGATTTGGAGAGACCAACTCTGGTGGATGTTGAGCCGAGGATGGCATACGCCTGGCTTGCCATCTCCTTACTGCAAGGCCCGCGTGACATGCGCAGTCTGCGGGGGGTCGCTGCATAGTCATGATAGGAGTATACTAAAAACTATAAGTACTTTGTTGCCCCTTGGGTTTGTCAGTCCTCCTGCAGGTGCTGCCTCAACCTCGCTGCGGGCCGGCGAGGCCCCCCGGCTCTACGAGGCGGAGGCAGGGCTCGGAGGAGGCGGATGGGTTGAAGGAGTCAGCCAGCCAAACAACTTGTTTTCTTTTCAAGCAAAGTACAGCCTAGAACCAACCAAGACCAGTCTCAGCCAATTGGGATTTTTGCAATTTATCAACTACCCGCAGGGTTTCATCCATCCCAACTGGTGCGAACTGGAAATGATCAATCCGCGAACCTTTCTTTCTTAGCAAGCAGCCAAAAACAGGATCCTGTTTGTCTCCAAGAGTCATTTGGGGGATGGATGGAAGGTGGATAATTATGGTCAGAATTTGCAGGTACCCGGGAGTTCCCCAGCCGAGCGCGAGTACCCTTCAGGGCCGCGAAGCAGGGGAACCAAAACTATGCAGGGCCAAACAAGAGCCTCGCTACCTCTTTCCACCTCGAAAGACGCTGAAATCCCCTCGAATTGGCCGAGCCGTGGAAGTTGGGCGGTCCTCTCCTCTGACCAAATCGCCCAACCACGCCCTCTTAGTGCTGTTGAAGTTGGGTCATGCGTGTGAAAGCCGGGCTGCGGGTGTGAGTCGAAGGGAAACGATATGTCATTTCCAGCGGCGAATTAAGCTGGGTCTTTCTTTTCACCAACGTTCGCCAGTCAGCTTGTGGGGGTTTGTAGCATTTTACTGGCAATGTGCCCAGACGACATCATCCACACTTCAGAATAGGCCCATGAATGCGCCGCTATTTGTCGGGGCCCATTCCTTTCCCGGACATTTTCTGCTTTGTGGAGAAGACAAGAAACATCGAGTTGGGACCCCCACAGCTTCCCTATGAAGGCGTGGGGATGGGGCCAATATCTCACTTGTGTTTGGTGATTTTAGCTTACTCTTCGCACATTTTTCTAGGCTTGCTTCAGTTGCAGTGTTCAAGCGGGAAGTGTACGGAACTGTGTTTTTTGCAACCCGAGCGTGGTATGCGGTCAGGCCATGATGGAAAAATGCATTCCCACATTCCCCACACACGGAGACACGCAGCTGGTCTCGCTTGAAGTTTGGTGATTCTATGAATTGTCTGCAGGCCTCCTTGCTGAAGCCATCGTCATGGTCCATTTATGCACCAGCACCTCTGCCGCCGCGCTTCCTCATCATTTCTAGTCCGGAGGAGTTGGGGGGAGGCCATTCGCTGGTATGCCGAAACCCAGCCTGAGATTGCCTGAGCCCACGGCTTTCTGGCCGAAGCTCACAGGCCAATCGTTTATACAAGGGATGCCGTTGAACGAGGTATCAGCCAAAACTACAGCCAGTTTTGGGTTTGGGGATGCAGATGCGGCTTTTTGGTGCTCCTGCTTTAAAATGCAGTCTTTTTTGTGTTCTCCCACAATGCTTAGGGTGAGGGAAGCTGTGAGGGTTCATGTCTTGCGCAGGAGCGGATCGTCAGCTATGCTCAGGTGGGGATGCTGTTTGCGATGGTGGGCTGGCTGGCTGTTTTGCCAGCCTTTCTGCCTTTCTGCCAGCCTGCCCGCCTGCCCGCCTGCCTGCCTACCTGCCTCCCCGTATTTGCACAGTTCCTGCCGCAAGTCAGTTAGTCCCAGGTCGGCTTCCGCATTTGTTTTGCTCAGGGGCTTGCCACAGTGTGTGAGTCGAACCACCAAGCATCCCTGCTGCGGAAACGATTGTTCAGTGGTGGTTGCTTGCTACAAGTGAGCACTCCGTGCAGAAAGGGCAGAGGCCTAAAGCAGTGTATCTTTTGAAGAGGCGCCTTTCCTCGAACGGGTCTTTTGCCCGTGATTAGGTCTCCGATGACTACACGGCGGTCAAGGGCCTTGTCAAGCCCCTTCTGCAGGATGTTAGCATCCCTAAGGGCCTCGCCTACGATCCTTGGCAGAGGGCAAGCTGACAGGCTGGGCGAACAGGATGAAATGAGCAGGCAGGCAATCTTTCCCGCGCACCAACGACACATTGGTTGATTCAAAGTTGGCTTACATCGCACCCTAATAACCCCCCCCAAAAAAAAAAAAAAACAACTCCCCAGGAAAACGCCCCCAGTTCCAGCATGCTGGGAAGACAGGAGGTGGGTAGGAGAAATCGCTAGTCTTGGTTTCAAAATGTGCCATTCCAAGTTGGCATTGACCCCCCCCCCCGGGGTTTTGGAAACATATCTTACTTCATCAGGGGAACCTTTATCAAGGAGCATTTACCGACTTCCAAGTGCTCCAGCCAATTAGTGAACCTCTTCCCCCTCAGAATAAAGGTCCTGAAGAATTTGATCGGTCAGTTTGGGGTTTTACATCCGTTGCATCCGCAGTGTGGCTGTTCAAGCGTGAAAATGTGCGAGCAGCGCACTTGGACGGTTTGTTGTTTCCTTTTGGGCCCCAAACCGGTAACCCTTGAATCTATAGGTTATCAGCCGTAGGCCCCTAGCTCTAAGCAATGGACGGTTCCCTTGTGCCAGTTGATGGATCCAGCATGCCTGTGGATGCTGCCGGAGCTAGCTCCGGCAACGCCACCGGCGGCGGTGTGCGAATGTTCGCATCAAGCGCTAATGCGCAATACAACCGCACCCTGATGAATTCCCTTCAACTGTACAATACCGCAATCTTTGCTTTTGGGAATGATGCAGCCATTAGGTCTGAAGCCGAAGCCCTGCATCAAGCAGCTGTAACGCATTTGCAAGCGGAAAACCGTGAGGAGCTCCGTGCCGCACAGAATCAGCTGCATGCACACTACGCTGAATGTGTGCAAGCCCAGTCGCATAGGATTCGTGAATACGAACAGCGAGTGAGCGATGAGTTCATGCAAGAAGTGAACTTCGCTGAAGCTAGGATAAGCCAAGTGTGTGAGGAAAATGCCCAAGCATTGCATGAAGCGGAAATGGGACGCAAAACAACTGAGTTTAGGCAAGCCATCGAATCCACCCTGGCTGAAGCCCAGCAGCTCCTCCATGAGCAAGCTGCAAAGCATGCCGATGACACAGCCCGTGTCGAGGCTAAACACGCCAGAACGGTTGACATGATGGCACACCAAAACGGGCTTCTGCAGGACGAGCTTGATGAGCTGAAGAAGTATCAGAAGCAACACGACCTCCGCGAGGATGGATCGAAGCCCAAAGGGGTAGGTGATACCCGAGAGGATTCACCAGAGTTGATGACCGACGACATGAAGTCAGCTCGGTCCCAAAGGTCAATGTTGGACCCGTTGACCCATCCGTTTCAATATGCAAAGGAAAAGTTGAGGTCGCTTGTTACCTATGACGGTTACGGGGATGAATATACCCCTAGCGTGATTCCAACTGCCGAATGCGAAGCACTGCCCGCAGATGCTCGCGATCCGCAAGGACTAGCTGAAAAGCCATCAGGTAGCAGCCGATCCCCGGTGAAAACAAGTGCACCGGTTCCACCCCTGCAATTCTCTCAGGGGCCAATGTCAACTGACCGCAAGCAGGGTGGCAAGCCTCCTGGCGGTCCGCCACCTGATGATGATGGCGACGGCGATGGTGACGAAGACGATGGTGACGGCCTCGGGCCCAACCTCGGCAATGAAGCATTCGCCAAGATGTTGATGAAGTTAGTAAAAGGCCAAACGAACGATGAAAAGCCCAGAACCCGCGAAAGCGAGACGTTGCGATTCAAGGAGATGCCAACTCCTGAAACGTACCGTGAATGGAAAACATCGGTTCGTGAGGATGTCCGCGCTGCATCTGACCGTCCAGACGAGGCTTGGCCTTGGATCATGGAAGTCTGGTCTGATCGCGAGGACAAGAAGAAGCTGTTGGAGGAGCTCGGCGAACCGGGAAAATTCGTGACCCTAGACACGAAGATTCTCGCAGCGCTCACGCGTTCAGCGAAAGGCGATCTGGCTCAGCGAATCCTAACAGCAAAGGAAGAATGTGCCAAGGAGGGAAAGGCCATGAGAGGAAGGCAGGTCTTGTTTATGTTTGACCAATATTTCAAGACCAGTGAAGAAGCCGGAAACCTCTACTCCTTGGAGGACCTGTTGCGTGTCTCGCGACACGGCGAAGGAATCATCGATCTCAAGCGTTTCCTGAATGCTTGGGATTCCGTGATCGCCGGCATGAAAAAGCCGCCGGAAGAAAAGGTGTTGAAAGACATCTTGCTTCGCCAAGTGAGAAGCTGCCATCTGTTGCGGTACGACATCGACACATATGATCGTTGCCGTGATGATGATCCCAATAAATCGTACGATTTCCTAATGCGTTGCATGAGGGATCTAATCGAGAGGGATAGGCTCCGCGAGAACCGAGAGCGCGTGTCCAAGGTCAATGCCAGTAAAGCCCCGACGCCCAAGGCTGGTGCTGCCGCCCCTGAAAAGAGGGACCCCAAGAAAAAGAGCGCACCTAAGCCGAAGGACGCCGAGGAGAAGTACTGTTTTGACTTCCAGAAGGGCTCGTGCACGAGGGGGGCAAACTGCCCTTACGCGCACCGCAAGGAGCCGCGAGGACGCTCCGCGACCCGCGGCAGGCCAAGTTCCCCCAAAGGCGGTAAAGGAGAGAAAGCACCGTGTTCTTTCTTTGCCCAAGGGAAGTGCACGAGAGGTGACAAATGCAAGTTTAGCCATGCCTCCACGGGCGGCAAATCTGCCGCCGCGGCATCGAGCAGCGAGGCCAATGCAAATCCTGCGGCTAAGAAGCGTGCAAATTCACCTAAGCCTAAGCCCAAGGCCAAAGCCGCTGCAGTCTGCACCAGGTACGCCATGTTCGCAAAGCCGATCAACCCAATTGGAGTGTCATTCGACACCAATGCTCATGTTCATGAAATCCCCGCCGAAGGCGATGGTTTCAAGCTTGAGTATGAGGAACGTCAGTACAATAGGATGTTTCCAAGTGCCAAGGACTGCCCCAGGCCGACCAAAGGGACTAACAAGGCAGCGCGCAAGGCCGCGAATCAGTTGAATGCCGTAGTCAAAGCCATGGAGAATGGAGCCCAGCCCGCTTGCGGTTTCATGTGCGATGTGGAATCTGATTCCATCTCAAGCCTATCGTGTGACGAGTGCCTGAGAGTTGCCATGCCGCCTCACGATGTTCGCAAGGATGTCGAAGCGCCAAGGGCAGCCACCCCTGCCCCAAAGGGAAAGGATGTGTGGCTCATTGATTCCGGTAGTGAGCAGGACCTCATCAGCAAGGCTGCACTGAGGAATGCGTCCAAGGCAATCCGAAAACAGGCCCCGCAGCCTATTCGCCTTGTGACTGCAAACGGAAACATCACTGCTTCCGAGATCGCCGACATCAATGTCGATGCATTGTGCGAGCCTGCTCAGCCTTACATCCTCGAGAGTTCTCCCGCAGTGCTGTCGCTGGGTGTGAAGTGTCTGGATCAAGGATATTCCTTTCATTGGGAATCCGGGAAGGCACCAACCATGGTTCGCCCTGACGGTGCTCTGATCCAGCTCAAGGTTGACGGTCATGTGCCATACATGGACTCTAGTTGTGAAGCTGAGCCATCGTTGAGTGCAGTAGCAGCATCAAAGCCAGCGCCTGCGCCAGTTCATGACGAAGGCATCGACGAAGGTGATGATCCCGACGACGAAGTTGAGCGGTTTGTGAGATCCCGCAAAGAGCAAGATCTGGTTGCCGAAGCAGGTACCAAAGAGCACTTGTTTGCACACTATCCGAAGAATCCCTTTTGCCGCACTTGCCAACGTGCCAAGATGCTTGCCCCATATGCAAGATCGAAAGGCGGGCAGGGAAGGCTCGAGACGAAAGCGTTTGGAGATCACATCATTGCTGATCATGTGATTCTCAAGGCCAACATCGAGCAAGGCATAAAAGGTGAATGGTGTGCTCTTGTGATCAAGGACGTGCATACGCAGTTCAGGTACGTTTACCCGTCGACCAGCAAAAGCACGGAGCAATCCGTTGCAGGGATCCAGCATTTCATTTCCGGTAGGGATGAGGTTGAGGTTCTCTACACTGATAACTCCCGGGAATTGAAAGCCGCAATAGAGCAGTTGGGGTACCGTCATCAGACCTCCATTGAATATGTTGATTCTTCCAAATCTTTCGTGGAAAGGGAAATCAGACATCTGTTGGAGGGAGCACGTGCGAACCTTGTCCAGTCAGGGTTCCCACTGTCGATGTGGCCATTTGCCATCCAGCACAATGCAGTTGCGACCAACATCCTGCCACAGTTGAATGGAAACGATTCGCCATGGTACCTCAGGTTTAACAAGACCTTTGATGAAGCTGAGATACCTTTCGGAGCAAAGATACTGTTCTGGAACAACCCTGCACGAGCTGACAATCAGGCAGGCAAGACTTCGCCAACATCGAATGAAGGCGTGTTTCTCGGGTACCACATTCAGCCCGGGTTCGCATGGAAGGGTGAGTTCCTCGTTGCAAAACTAGAAGGGCTCGATTACCATATCGAACATGCGTCCCTCACGGTACAGCGAACAAAGCGCATTGAGCTTCCGACTGATGAGTTCATCTTCCCGATGAGGTTGTTGAAAGACCCTGCATCTCATCCACCTGTTGCCAGTGCTAGGATACGAGATGATCCGGTGCCGTTGGAACGTGGGCAAGCCCACATCGAGGAACCCGCCGCATCGGAGAAATCCGAAGCGAAGACCAAGCCTGTCGTGCCCGACAAAGGCGGTGCATTCGACCCGAGCATAATGCCTGATGGGTCACCAGTACCTGATGGCTATGTGTGGGATGGGGTTCGGCTCGTCCGTAGGAAGGCCGGATCCAAAAGGCCTCCCGATATCCCGTCTGACATTGCTCGGCAGCCAGGACCGAAAGGCCCTAACCCAGCAGTATGAAGATCAGCTCCGTGCAGATGCCAAGAAGGCAGTGCTTGAGACAGCAGTCTCTTCGGAGGCCAGATCCGAGCACCCCGAAGCCGCATCGAGTGCAAA